AAAAGAAATTTAATTATTCCCAACTTCCGTTTTTTTTTTTTTCGTTCCTCTGCTTCCACGTTTCCGCTTTTACTTTTTCATCTGGAAAAAAAAAGTATTAAAAAATGTTATTCCGGTTTTGTTTTAATGTTAAACTATTAAAACATTCTCATTTGTTAAAAAAAATGTTTTATTTATTTATTTTTTTTTCATCTCGTCGACTTGATTGAAAAATGTAAAGATACGTCGAAAAAGAAAAAGAGAGAGATGAGATATTTAAAAATAAAAAGAGAGAGAGAGAAAAAAAGATTTCGTGTTATTTTTATTATTTTTATAAAAAAATTAAAAATATTTTAATTGCCGGAAACGACAAGTTTTTTTTTTGTAACTTTTTTTTTTAATTCTTTTTTTTCTATTAAAAATTTCAATTGTTTCGAATTGTTCTCCCCTTTCTCCCCTTTATCCCCTTTCCCCTCCCCCCGTCCATACCCACCCACACTTTTATCCTATTTTTTTTTTGTTTTATTAGAAAAAAATTTCAATTTTACTTAAAAAAAGGAGAAAAGAAAGTATTCAGAAAACAAATTAAATAATTTGTTGTTAAATTTATTTCATTCTATTTTATTAATTTATTTTAACAAAATTAATTCTTTATTGAATAAATTCACAAACGTTTTATTCATCCATTCGTTCATTTATTAAAAAAAAAAAAAAACGTAAAATTGATTTATTTATGAATTGATTCGTTCTTGTGAAATGAAGGAAAACTAATAAAAACAATTTTAAAATCTTTCTTCAACCGTAATTCCTTTTTCTTTACTTTTCAATTTTTTTTTTTATATAAATAAATAAATTTACGTTCTTCATTACAATTGTAATGGAAAAAAACGATTTTATTACTAAAATTTCCCGTTTATGAACGGAACTCTTATTGTAAAAATTTATTAAATTTCATCGTTTAATTCTCCATCTCTCTCTCTCTCTCTCTTATTCTTTTCCGTTTTTTTATTTAATTTTTTTCTTTCAAATTGAATCAAAAAATTCAATTTAATAATGATAATAATAATAATAACAAAAACAAATAAAAATTTCGTATACGTACATACATATTTTTTTTTTAATTTCAGATATTCAACGATATGAAAATATAAACTACAAAAGAAAAAAAAAAGCAATAAAAAAAAAATATACATCACAAGAGGATTACGTGCGTGAGTGCGTGTGTGCGTGAGTGTGTCTGCGTGTGCGTGGATTCATTTAAAAATGACGATAAAACTTTAAGGGATTTTAAAAAATAATACATATACGTAACATGTAAGTTTTTATTATTATTATTTTCACGAAAACCGACCGGCACATCGACGACGCAACTTAAAAACACCAACGATAATAATAATAATAAATAAATAAATAAAAATGGAATATGAAGTTTTTTTCGTTAAGGAAGCGGATGATGAGGATGAACATATGACGGTTAATAATCACATACAAATATTATTTAATCAAACGACGGAATCGACCGATTGTTCTAGAAACGAAAGCCAATGCGTGTTCATGAAAGAATCCGTTAAATATTTGAACGTTACGGAAGAACTTCCAGTACGGTAAGTTACGTCACATTAATTAATTACTTTTTAAGAAAATTTATTTTTACGTACGAGTGCAATTGCAATGTCAGCAGCAGCAGCAGCAGGAGGAGGAGGAAAAGCAACAGCAAACAAAAAGCAACAAGTAATTTTTTTTTAAATTTTTGGCGCCTTTTTTCTTCGTAAAAAAAAAAACAAATTCGAAACCCGTTTCAATACTGACTTGAAATTTATCTGACGTAATAAATAAAGATATCGAAACCGTGAATTTTTACATTGATGACGTATTCGCGATCGATTACGTCACTAAAATCCTTATGTAAAAAATTTTTTTTTTTTTAAACTATTAACCCATTGACAAAATTATTAATTTTTTTTTTTCTGTTTTCATTACTTAA